CGTGGCCGTCCACGGTGAGCCCTCTGGGACCGGGGTGCCACTGGGCTCTGCGTCACTCCTGGGTGATACTGGTGCTGCCTGGGTGATGCTGGTGCTCCTGGGTACTGCCGGGCTCTGCACCCCGCCCGGGTGATCCCAGTGCCACCTGGTACCATCGATGTCCTCCGCCCCTCCCAGGTGGCACTGCTGAAGGTGTGGACATCGGTGGTGGTCCCTTGGCCGTGCGGGTGACCCCGGGGAGCCTCGTCAAGGGAGTGGGCGGCACCGCCGAGTTCGCCTGCGCCGTGTCCGGGGACCCCCGGGCGCGTGTGGAGTGGCTGAAGGAGGGCGGGGAGCTGCCCCCCACCCACAGCGTGAGGGACGGGGTGCTGCGGTAAGGATCGGGGGGTGGGGAGGGGGGACCCCCCTGACCCCCTCTGGGGTCCCTCACCCCGGCTGTGTCCCCACAGGATCCCGGAGCTGGCCTGGGGGGCACAGGGGGTGTACGTGTGCCGGGCCAGTGCCCCGGGCGGGCAGGCGGAGGACAGGGCCACCCTCACCGTCCAGGGTAGGAGCAGCACCGGGGCACAGGAGACCCCTGACCTATCCCCCTCGGGCACTCTGGTACCCCCATCTCCCCACACGCAGGGGCACCCCTGTACCTTCCATTTCCCTAAATCCACGGTCACCTGGGCACCCCCCCAAGTCTCCCAACACCCACGGACACCCCGATATCCCAAATCTCTCCCCATGCCCACAGGCACCCCAATGCCCTCAATCTCTCCCCACACCCATCAAAACCCTGGTACTCCCTGTCTCCCCATGCCCGTGGGTACCCCAACACCCCCAACATCTCCCCAGCCCATGAGCACCCCAACACCTCCAACATCTCCCCATTCCCAATCCCACTGATCCCCCCATCCCCTTGAGCACCCCATTTCTCCCCATCTCCCACTCCTCTCGTGGCACCCTGGGCTGTGATGCCTCCCTGTGCCAGGGGGTCACCCCAAAACCCCGCTGTGCCCCCAAGCTCTCCCCAGGGCCCTGATCAACATCCGGACGGCCGTGCAGACGGTGCTGGTGGGGACGACAGTGGAGCTGGAGTGCCTGGGCTTGGGTGAACCGCGTCCCCACGTCACCTGGAGCAAAGTGGGGGGCCGCATCCGGCCCGGGGTGCTGGTCCGCGCTGGCACTCTCACCATCGAGCGGGTGGAGCGGGCGGACGCGGGGCAGTACCGCTGCACCGCCACCAACGCCGTGGGCACCGTCCAGTCCCACGTCATCCTGCACGTGCAAGGTGGGCACGCAGGGCTGGGGGCCACACGCGGGGCTGGG